CCGGCGATGCACAGGGGTTCCTCCTGGCTCATGCACTCAGGAATTACTCCTGGAGGTGCTCGGGGGACCATATGGGATGCTGGGAATCGAACCCGGGTCAGCCGCATGCAAGGCAAACACCCTACCCGCTGTGATATCGCTCCAGCCCCGATCCTAAGACTTTTAAAGGCAGACCAGGTTAGGGACAGTAACAGGCTCTGGTAGCCTTTACTCTCTTTTAGATTAAATGCTAGCCCTTGGTATTTATACAACCAAGAAACAAAAAACGCCCAGTTTATTCGTAGAAGGCAGAGGGGAGGGAGAGGGGAAGAGAATAGTTCCTTGAACCCTCTCTGAAGTGGACGAGTTAATGCATGCAGAAAAGGCACATGCTTGTGAAGGGCTATGCAGCTGTCAGTATTCAGCTCTTTTGTTTCCTTCCATTTATAAAGGTTCCGTTAAGGGGGAGTAATGTTGTGTTATGACACATGCCATCCAGAATTCCCTTGGACAATTTTTTCCTCTGTTTGGTTTCTGCTGTAAAGATTTAACAGTGTGTAATAAGGAGCGGCCGCTCAGGCCTGTTAGGACCCTCTTTGGAAGGTTTCTGTTGGCTTTCTGAACCAACCGGCCTCCTGGGAACCTGTCTGTGTAAATCTCTCTTGTTCTTTTTCCTCCCAAAGAATGCTCTGACTTCTGACCTAGGATTGTTCCTTTCCCCCTTTTACTGCAATGCCCATACTCTGAAATTTGGCATATGCGTCTAATGTCAAGAGGGTTTGTATATTTCTGGGAGAAGATGGAGGCTCTGGTGCCCTCTGAAAGGGCCTCAAGGGGTGAGGTCATGGGAAAGAAGATGAGGGAGAGGAAAATAAGTAATTTGAGGCAGCAGAAGAACTGTGTTCAGAGGGAAGGGAAATTAGCGGAGCGATTTAAAGCATTTTGTTTTGGAAAACGTCGATGCTGTAGCATCAAGAGATATTTGGAAATGCTATTGAGTAAACACGGCCCTTCTCCTTACTCTGATTCTCCGGCAGTAGCTTGTTTGAGGATTGTATATTTTGGTGCCCCACGTTATTGTTGTTCTCTGAGCAGCTGCCTGTGGTGCTGGCTGGTGGGAAGAGAAACCGGCTGTGCCCAGGCCTCCCTCCTTCACCTCAGCCCGCTGAGTCAGAGCAGTGGAGGATTTATGCCGTCCAGGCACCGTGAGTAGGGAAAGCTCTCCGTACAGGAACTCCACCTAGTAAATGGATTTGGAAAATGCAAAGCATCCCTCTTGTTTCAGCTCTCAACTGAAGGCTGGGATGAAATGCTGGGATGCCACTTTAGAATTTCCTTTTGTTACTTAGGATGTTGATGAGGTGCAGTGTGCTGAACTGTCTTTCATAGATGCCACGATGCTTTTCCGTATGTGCCCCCCAAATGGAGATATTTTCATTATACGCTTGTTATACTCATATAACATCTGTTTTTGGGTCCTTGTCTTATTATGTCTTTCTTATGCCTCGTTTTGACTATGATTATAAGGTAACGTCTTTTGGTGGGACAATTACTCACGAAAGGTTTGTTAGTTTTGCATCCAGAGTGCTATGCTAAATATACATTGTTGAGTAGGGTGGTTAATCTCTAGGTAATGGCCTTGTGTAGAATGGAAGTATGAAATATGCAGAGTGACTTGTTAGTCTGTTTCTCTATTTTAGAAAAAGTGTTTTACATATACATGATTTAATCAGAGTAATGCTTTGCATTTGAACACACTTAACTCCCTTTTACAAATTGCTAATCCTCTTTGTATTTTCACAGAATGAACTTTTTAGGATAGATAAGATATGTAGCCTAATTAAAGTTTGTTTCATTTCTTAGATTTGAGAGCCTATTGTGAATATGTCAGGTTCTGTAGAAAACACAATTTTATCCTGTCTCAAAGACATTCACTCATGACTGTCACTCAGATTAGAATCAAAGGGAGAAGCAGAGACCAGACCACCTTGGGCAGCTGTACCCAGGGAGAGCACCCAGTTGGATCCCTGGCACCACATGTGATCCTTTGAGTACTGCTAGAAGTGATCCCTGAGTACAGAGCCAGGAGTAAGCCCTGAGCACTGCAGGACGTGGCCCAACAAACATCCCCTCAGCTACCCATCCCAAAGTCATGAAGTTCCAAGGAGGAATAGAGAACACTGGGGAAATTAATCCAGGCTTTGAGACAAGAATGGTGTGTGGAATGAGCTTTGAAAGACAGACAGACTTTCATTAGCTCTTGGTTGAGAAGAGTTATTCCATCTAGCTAAAAGTATAGCATTAGAATTAGGAAGCTGTGTTTAGGAATCAAGGTACACAGGGACATAAGATTTCCTAGCCCATCTGGAAATATGTTTTTTGTTTAATTAATTAATCAATTAATTAATTTTTTAATTAGTGAAACACCATGAGGTACAGTTACAGACTTACAAATTTTTGTGCTTGGGTTTCAGTTAGACAGTGATCGAGTACCCATCCCTCCACCAGTGCCCATTCTCCACCACCACTGATCCCAGTATCTCTCCCACCCCCCACCTCCCCATCCCACCCCAACTCAGTGGCAGGGCATTCCCTTTTGTTCTCTCTCTCTCTCCCTTTGGGTTCTGTGGTTTGCAAGAGAGGCGTTGAGTGGCAATCATATTTGGTCTATAGTCTACTTTCAGCATGCTTCTCCCATCCTGGGAGGATCCTCCCAACACCCTTTATTTGGTGCTCCCTTCTCTATCTGAGCTTCCCTTTCCCCCAGCACGTGTGGCTGGCCTCCAAGTCATGGAGCAAAATTCCTGGTACTAATCTTGGCCACTCTTGGGTGTTATTTTGTTACTATTTTGTTGCTTTATGTTCCCCAGATGAATGCAATCTTTCTGTGACTATCCCGCTCTTTCTGACTCATGGAAATATGTTTTTTAAATCACAGTTTTTATTTGGAGGTTTTAAAGGGAAGGAGGGAGAGAAAGTGGGAGCGAGTGGAGAGTAACCTGCTCGAGAGAGAGCCCGGGTTTCTCCGAGGGCGGAGAGAGCCCCTACACACATCCTAGCATTAGACACGAAAGCATGAAAGTCCACATCTCAAGAGGGGAGAAGTGGGCGACATATGTGCTCAGGCACCACACGTGCTTGGCCACGTGGGCACAAGCAGCACATGGGCTCGGGTAGCATATGTGCCTGGAAATATGGGTTTTATTGTTTATTTATGTATGTATTTTATTTTGGAGGGAGAGAAGGGTGGTGCTGGGGAACCATGCACACCCCTCAGATGGAACCACAGTCAGCCACAAACAAGGCAAATGCTTTAACCCCTGTCCCATCTCTCTAGCCATGGAGGCATGATTATTAAAATAAGGGTAAACAGGGGGAAATGTCGATGATTTAATAATAATAGGCATCTAATTTGGGTTACCCTCCTCTTGGATACCAGAGCTTCTACAAAGTGCTGTGTGTATGGAGTCCTTTATTCATCTGTTAGAAGTCAGCTTCATTTGTTTTTTCAAACCGATCTTCATTCAAGCTTTCGTCATGTCTTGATCACACCAGCAGTGCTCTGGCGGTGTCTGGGGGAGGGGGGGCAGTGCCGTGGGCTACTCCTGCTGTGCTCATGAGATGCAACCCAGGACTCCCTTCCTTCGAGCATAAGTTTCAGCCCTTTGAACTGTATCATCAGCCACTGATCTATTTTAGCTGAACAGTTTTTACTAAAAGAGCAGTATTATCAAAGCTATGATACAGCAGGTTACACAGTGGAAGACAGAAGACGAGGACAGTGCTCGGAGGCCTTTTGTATGTTCTCTGCAAGAAATAATGTGCACCTGGAAATATTCGGTGGGAACATAAGAGAAAATATAATCTTCTGATCCATAGACAGATGTGTTATCCATTGCACCTCTGGCCCACACAGTGAAAATATAAAACTGGGCTGGTTTGCAAGAATGGCCGAGATTAGTACCAGGAATTTTGCTCCTTGGCTTGGAGGCCAACCACACATGCTAAGGGAAAAGGGAGCTCAGATAGAGAAGGGAACACTAAATAAAGGTGTCGGGAGGATCCTCCCAGGATGGGAGAAGCATGCTGAAAGTAGACTATAGACCAAACATGATTGCCACTCAATGTTTCTTTTGCAAACCACAACATCTAAAAGGAGAGAGAGAACAGAGGGGAATGCCCTGCCACAGAGATAGGGTGGGATGGGGAGATGGGGGATGGGAGGGATACTGGGATCCGTGGTGGTGGGAAATGGGCAATGGTGGAGGGATGGGTATTTGATCATTGTATAATTGAAACCCAGGCACAAAAATTTGTAAGTCTACAACTGTACCTCATGGTGTCTCACTAATAAAAATTAAAAAAAAAAAGTAAAGACAAAAAAAAAAGGTGTTAAGAGATTGTCAAAAAATTTTTAAAAAAAAATTTTAAAAACTGGGCTTGTTTGAATCAGAATCTATTTTAAACTTCTTATTGTAGTCGCTGTTAAAATATTTTGTTTTTCAACTTTAGTGGTATCTTGAAGTAATAATTGGTCTACATGCTCTCCTAGGCTCCTTCACGGGGGAGATAAAAAGCAAAAGTAAGACCATTCTGCCACAGGGGACAAAACCCTCAGTGACAAATACTACATTCTTCCTCATTTCCTCCATCGCAGTGTTCCCGGTTGACTGATGGGTCAAGGGTAGCACTGTCTGTAGCTCTGTCCTCCCTTCTATTCTGCTCGAGCAGGCACCAGTAACATCTCCATTGTGAGACTTGTTGTTACTGATTTTGGCAAATCGAATACGCCATGGGGAGCTTGCCAGGCTCTGCCGTGCAGGCGGGATACTCTCTTTGAAAGGGATGGAGGAATTGAACCTGGGTCAGCCGCATGCAAGGCAAACGACCTGCCCGCTGTGCTATTGCTCCTGCCAAGGGTATCTTCATCAAATTGTTTCACATAATGAGCAAACTCAAATTCCCTCAGTGTTCAAGTTTTAAGCTGCTGTGAAATAACCCCAGTATTAACTGTTTTGCAGATTCCATTGTGATTGGATTTTGGGTTGGTCTTGCAGTCTTTGTGATTTTCATGTTCTTTGTGCTGACCTTGCTGACCAAGACAGGAGCTCCTCACCAAGAGTAAGTTTGGACCATTCTATAATGTCTGTGCAGGGTCCTTGGGGAAGGAAGAGGCAGAAATTGTAAAGCCTGCGAGACTGTGGTTGCTTTCAGTGGCTGGAGAGAGGGGGAAGGTCATGGATTTGCTGCCAGGAGAGAAGATGTCACCTATCGTCCTCCTGGCATCTGTCTCGTGCTCTGCGGCCTCTTTATAAGTGGGCCCCAGAGGATGCCAGGACCCAGGGAACCTGGACGTAGCCTTGATGGTGATCCAGGTCTAATTTTTATAGCAGAGTATTTTAAAAGTAGGGTGCATTTTCTCCCTGCAATACCTTTCTTGGCACTTTAGGGGATTACTTGAGCACATTAAAAGAGCAGTAAAGTAGGAGGATGACCAGGTTTGTTTATTTATTTATTTTTAACACTAAAGAAGGGGCTAAGGAAATCGTACAGAAGGCAAGACACTTACCTTGCCTGCAGCTGACTCGAGTTTGATTTCCAACAACACAAAATAGCCTCCAAGGATTCCCAGGAGTGAACCCTGAGTTCAGAGCAAACCAACAAAATGTGGAGGTGGTATTGCAGTATGACTTATTCATTCATCCAAGATCAGGGTGCTTATAACTCAAGGACCAAAGAAGATGGGAAACTTGTTCCCCTTCTCCCTCAAATCTTGTTCTCTGATTGGAGCTAACTAAGGGTTTATAAAAGGTTAGTGGAGGAGGTCACAGGAGAGGAGAGAAGTCTGGTAGGGAAGAAAGGGCCTAGTCATGCAGCATCCTGCTGATGTGATTGGTTTGATGAAGGAATGAGGCAAGCCAATCTTGGCAGAATGTAAGATGATGCGCTTTGTGACGTTGGCTCTCAGTGGTTCACTGAATGCCATAAGCATAAGAGAGCTATTCTTTGTTTTTTTTCCCCCTCTTGTCCAAGATTGGCTCTTAGTTTAACAGTAAATGCATAGTTTAGAGGACCATAAATGCATAGTTTCTTTTGTTTGCATATAAAACTGTGATTTAACAGTAAATGCATAGTTTAGAAACAGTAAATGCATAGTTTCTTTTGTTTGTTCTTGTGGGGCCCTATCTGAAAGCTTATTTTTGCCTCTGTAGTCCCTTCAGGTGAGTATAACTTGTCTTAGAGTCTCAAGTTTTATTTATCTTTTTAAATTTAGTTCATTTATTCCTTTTGCTTCTTTATGTATTACTTACAAATGAAATCATTCAGTGTCTCTCTACCAGATGGGGTAGGTGCTGCTGTCCCACCTTCTCCAGATGGAATCCCGGTGACCATGAGCTTCTACAAGCATGGCTCTGGCATGCGGGTACCAGGACATTTTTTCCGAACCACACGGCCGCTTACACGGCTGCGCGACATTTCCTTATACGCAAAGTGATCAATGGAAAGTAAATCATCCAACATATACTGCATTTTTACCTAATCATTTGTCTGTGGGTAGGTAGGCTGATTCCAACTGCATTAACTATGAGGATGCACAGACCACTTTGAAGTCATGTTTTGTTTTCTTTAGTTAAGTAAACAGAAGTGGGATAAATGAATCATATGGTATTCCTATTTTTAATTCCTTTGGAACATCTGCACTCTGCTTTCCACAATGACTCACCATTCTCATTCCCACCAACAGTATAGGAGGGTTCTTTTCTCTCCACATTCCCCCCAATCTTTGCTTTCTTGTCTTTTGAATAATATCAATTCTCATGGGCATGAGGTCATTGGTTTTGAATTCACAGTTCCACATCTTACTGGCTGTGTTCAGGGGACCCCATGTGGTTCTGGGGATCAAACTAGGTTGGCTGCATGCAAGGCAAACACCCTACCTGCTGTACTATCTCTCAGGGCCCAGGCTTATTTGATCAAGCCTAGAGTCACCAAGGGGTGGAAAGAAGAATCCCTACTACAAGCTGTCCTGCATCCAAAGTTCAACCTCTTGTGTTACTCCTATGGGGAAACGAATGGAAATCTCATACCTACTGTGGTGGAGAGGAGAATGGATGGAAATTTGACATCTGCCCCTTTCTTAGACACATCCCCTTGTTTCACAGCGTATTGATCAGAACCCACCAGACTTCGTCTTCCAGGATGGGGAAGAGTGATCTTCCACGTACCCAGATCCTGTTATTCATTGATTGCCTCGAGCAGGCCCCAGTAACGTCTCCTTCATCCTAGCCCTGAGATTATATTCAAGGCTCTTTAGGAGAATGAGACCCATCATTGTTACTGGTATTTGGCATATTGGGTACGCCACGGGGAGTTGCCAGACTCTGCCGTGTGGGCAGGCTACATTTGGTAGCCTGCCAGTTTGTCCGAAGTAGGAATGAGATAATAAGATATCATAATAAGATGATAAAAACCGGGAGCTGGTTTTTATAGTTTCTGAGTCTTGGCCGTTGTTGGGATTACACGGCGCAGGGGGCCAGTTGGTGGGTGTGACCCCCGCCTACTGGAATTCGGAGGATCTGGGTGGAGGATGCTCAGCTCCGATCCGAGTAGGCTTGGAGATCTCGGCCCCGGGTCCCGCTTGCCTTTATTCCTCTGCCGGTACCTTCAGGTGTGCGGAGAGTGGTCTCAGCATGGTGGTGGCTGGTCCTGGAGGTCTTCGGCTGCCAGAGCCTACCCCCGCGCCTGGCTGTCCTTGCGGGGGCCCCTTGGAGGGGAGCGGGTTGAGCTTTCCTCCCCGCCCCGACCACGTACCCAGAAGGAGAAGAGAATAAGATATTTGTGAACACTAGTTAAGTAGACTGCAGAGGGAGAGAGACTGCTATTAAGCTGACATCACTTTTCGTAAAGGCTGTTATGTTCAAGAAGCAGATTTAATGGAGATTATTTTTCCCATAGAGTATTTGCTACTGTGTGTGGGAAAAACTGTGTTACTCAGATCCCTTATGGAAAATGAAGATAAAAGAATCATTACCCTTGCTTTCTCAACTAAGGAGCCATTTACTTTGTATAATGCCTGATAAAAGCACTGCAGTTCCATTATCATAAATATGTCATAGAGAGAAAAAGAGAGTGGTGAGAAAAGCTTGGATCACAGTTTTATATCGCATATTTTGGAGTTTTAAAAAAATTATCAAACTTCAGCATCATATACTCCAAATATCTTTCCTCTGTAGTATTTAAGATCTCCTTGCTCAGATGAGGAAGTTTTGCACTTAGGAGTGAGTATAGGATAGCACTTGATCATACAAAAATAGAAATTATGTTTGAATTTAAATATAGCTCAATGTGGCATCCACTAAAATGATGGTAGCAGTGAAAATAAAATCTTAGAGCAGGAAAATGACAGTTTTCAGTCTCTGTCTCTGTCTCTGTCTCTCTCTGGGGGGGCGGGGGGTTGAGGGTGGGAGTTGGGTGCCCGGGATCAAGCCCCATACAAGGCATGTACTCTATTACTTGAACAGTATCCTTGGCCCTGGCTTATACATTGTTCAAAGTTCACTGGAAGTGACTCCTAGAAATACCAGGTGTCCCCAAGCTTTTATGCACCCTCCCATGAAATGGGAACATTTAAGGATAGTTATATACATGTTACCCTTATCATAGCAGTAAAATTCACACAAACCTAAAAAATTTCTTAGGAAATTACAGGTGTTTTTCCTCCAAAAAACAGAAGAGGAGGGTTCTATTTTCCAGAACCATGTTACCTATAGGGATAGAAATTGAATGGTGGAAACATTTATAAAATAAAGGAAAAATATTTTGTTTGCTTTTTGGGTCATACCCAGCGATGCTCAGGGGTTATTCCTGGCTCTGCACTCAGGAATTATTCCTGGCGGTTCTTGGGGGACCATATGGGATACCGGAGATGGAACCCAGGTTGGCCGCGTGCAAGGCAAACACCCTACCCGCTGTGCTATTGCTCCGGGCCCCAATAAAGAAAATATTTTATATCTTCATTAGGTGGTAATTTCATCCATATATTAAAACACATTGATGCTTAGATCTATGGATTTCAGTATGTAAACTTTAATGATAAAATGAATAGAAACTAAATTGAAACAAATCTAGAATCATAGCTTTTCATACAATGGGTTTTTCATTTATTTAAATGAAGTTTCAAACATTAAGGGCTGGAGCTATAGTAAAGTGGGTAGGGCATTTGCCTTGCACGCGGCCGACCCAGGTTGGAGTCCCAGCATCCCATATGGTTCCGTGCATCGCTGGGTATGACCCAAAAAGAAAAAAAAAAGTTTCAAACATTAAAAAAAGCTTCTTCCTTTTATCAGTCAACCCAAGGGAAAATGACTGAGGGTTAAAAGAGTTCAAGGCTGGCTTCTTACTTAAAAGGAAAAACTCAGACTTTTGAGAGAAATTATTTGTTTGATATCACCCAAGTGATCACTGTCATAGAAAGCGGATATAAAAGTCCTTCAGCCAGCTATATTGCAAAGCCTCTAAATTTACTGAGCATGGAATTATAGGTGATTTTTGATAACTTGGAGGTCAGTATGTAAGACTAGATATCTCACCACTTGTAAATTGAATCCATACCCCACTGGCTCCGAGCACTCAGTTATAAATACTTTATTCTGATAAGAAGTAGGATTTACTTCTGAGATCACACACACATAGTAAACACACCTAGTATTTTTGTTTGAGTTTTGTTATAGATTTGAAAACATCCTCAAAGATGACATTTTTCTTTAACATGTAAACAGTGGCATGCACCAATCAGTAGCTCACACACACTGTCACGTCTTCCCATTGTTCATCGATTTGCTCAAGCGGGCCCAGTAACGTCTCCATTTTGAGACTTGTTGTTACTGTGTTTGTAACAACATACAAAATATGTCACGGGCAGCTTGCCAGGCTTTGCCGTGCGGACGAGATACTCTCTATAGCTTGCCGGGCTCTCCTAGAGGGGTGGAGGAATTGAACCTGGCTCGGCTGGGCTGGCTGCGTGCAAGGCAAATGCCCTACCGCTGTGCTATCGCTCCAGCCCAATCAGTAGGTCACATTTGAATATTTTAAATAGCACAAATTGTAACATTGGAGTCGATGCATGGAGAAAGTTCTCATGCTTCATGTGTGAGTGACTATCTGTAAGTCTAGAAAGGATGGAGACTGAAGTAACAGATCGGACAAAAGGTTATTATTTATTCATGTTCATGCACTTGTGAGATCACAATCACAAATCACAAATCATCCTGTTAGTCGTCGATTGCCTCGAGTAGGCCCCAGTAACGTCTCCTTCATCCTAGCCCTGAGATTATATTCAAGGCTCTTTAGGAGAATGAGACCCATCATTGTTACTGGTATTTGGCATATTGGGTACGCCACGGGAAGTTTGCCAGACTCTGCCGTGTGGGCAGGCTACATCAGGTAACCTGCCAGTTTGTCCAAAGTAGGAATGAGATAATAAGATGTCATAATAAGATGTTGCGCGGTTCCAGGAGCTGGTTTTTATAGTCTCTGAGTCTTGGACGTTGATGGGATTACACGGCGCCAGGGGGCCAGTTGGTGGGTGTGACCCCCGCCTACTGGAATTTGGAGGATCTGGGTGGAGGATGCTCGGCCCAAATCCGAGTAAGCTTGGAGATCTCGGCCCCGGAACCCGCGTGGCTTTGTCCCTCTGCCAGTACCTTCATGTGTGCGGAGAGTGGTCTCAGCATGGTGGTGGCTGGTCCTGGAGGTCTTCGACTTGTGATATAATCTGAGTCATTTCATTTATTCACTGATTTATTACCACTGAATTTCTATTTTGTTTCATGTAAAATGATGAAATTAGGATGCAGGGTTTGATTCCCACTCCTCCCAATACCTGGTTGTGTGACTCAAGTGGGAAATACAACTGCCCCTTACCTGGGCCTTTGTCAAATGGCAATACCAATTCTTGCCCTTTGTGATGGCACTGATAAATTTTGAGAATCTGGTCGAATAAAGGAATATGATGATGCTTTGACAAATATGAAACTTGAGCCTACAACCAGATAATATTGTTGTTCGGGCAGTCCTGCTGTAGACCTGTCCTGTCCTGTCCTGTGGGTCCTGTCCTCCCATTGTTCATCGATTTGCTCAAGCGGGCCCAGTAACGTCTCCATTGGATTCTAAACTTGAGCATGAGCAGGGGTGCTTGAGGTGTTTATGAAAATACAGATTGCAGGCCCCGGTCTTTGTTGACTTGAAAGCCACATGTTTTAGGAAGCACTTCAAGTGATTCTAATGCAGATGATTCAAGAAAACATCTCAGAACCACTGGGGTTTGATACATATAATGGGAATTCCTCAGGATGACTAAGGGGTCCACATTTTGACTTGTGTATTTTACACATGTTCAGAAACCATATCCCTCTGTTCTGGTGTTTATCTGCTCTGATCAGGGTATTGCACTCAAAAATGTTCGGTGAAAATGTGCCAGCCTGTCCTACATGCCAAAAGCCATGATTGTGCAGGAGAAAGAGTTTAAGGATTAGCAGGGTTTAACTTTTCCATTTTTTTACCCCTTAGCAATGCAGAGTCTTCTGAGAAGAGATTCCGGATGAACAGCTTTGTGTCAGACTTCGGAAAACCACTGGAGCCAGATAAGTTGTTTTCTCGCCAGGGTACTGAGGAGTCCAGGTCTCTCTTTCACTGCTACATCAATGAAGTGGAACACTTGGATAGGGCCAAGACTGGTCACCAGACCACATCCCTTGACACCAGTGTACAGCTCCAGGAAGCCATCGGAAGCAGCGGGAGAGCAGAGGAGGAACTGAACAGGCTTATGAAGTTTGATATCCCCAACTTCGTGAACACAGACCAAAACTCCTTTGGGGAGGATGATCTTCTGATTTCAGAACCACCTATTGTTCTAGAAAATAAGCCAGTGGTCCAGACTTCACACAAAGATCTGGTTTAAGAAATAGGGTCTCTGAAATATCATGACCTTTGAATAACTAGCAAGGAATCTCCATTCTCTAAAACTGCGTGTGTGTGTAAGGGTATGAGAAACAGAAAGGTCTTACATAGATGGGCAAAGAGATTAACCAGTCCCCCTGACCCCCAAAAATTGTTTATTAAGCTAAATTTATGGCTTTACACACATTTGGGGCTTTTTAAAGTTAATGTGTTTATCCTGTCTCATTGTCCTTGTTAAAAAGTTGGCAACTTAGCGTCAGTGTTCTTAAACAAGGGTCAGTGCATGGTGTTCTAATCTGGCTCTGACACTACCTTTAGCAAGCTGCTTTGTGTCTTCGAACTGCTACATCTCCAACTGTAGAATGAGGAATCTAAAGTCCACCGTCCATCCCAGCTCCAACATATGTGAATTTATGACTTCCTATCCTGACAGGGCTGGGGTATGAATAAAGTTATGAACTAGGCACAGGCTTCTAGCTCCTCTTATCACGAATCACGACGACCATCCTGTTAATCGTCGATTGCCTCGAGCAGGTCCCAGTAACGTCTCCTTCATCCTAGCCCTGAGATTATATTCAAGGCTCTTTAGGAGAATGAGACCCATCATTGTTACTGGTATTTGGCATATTGGGTACGCCACGGGGAGTTTGCCAGACTCTGCCGTGTGGGCAGGCTACATTTGGTAGCCTGCCAGTTTTTCAAAGTAGGAATGAGATGTCATAAGATGTCTGGGAGTTGGTTTTTATAGTCTCTGAGTCTTGGCCGCTGATGGGATTACACGGCGCCAGGGGGCCAGTTGGTGGGTGTGACCCCGGCCTACTGGAATTTGGAGGATCTGGGTGGAGGATGCTCGGCCCCAATCCGAGTAGACTTGGAGAGCTCCTCTTATAGAACTCTTAAATACCTTCCCCTCTACCCAAAACAGCTCAGCTTTCACTAAGGGCCCAGGTAACTACCAAGATGTCAGGAGAGTCATTTGTCATGGTGGTCAATGTTTCTGTTTATCTGAATGTCTCTTCTGAGGACCCCTACCCATTCTGGGGAAAGCCCTGCCTGTTGCCCTAGAATGAGTCCTGATCCATGGTCGATAGTATGGCACTTCTCAAGAAGAGTTGAGAAAGTTGTCAGTTGACCTGGAAAAATACCTTCAGTGTATCTCTGTGTTGGCATATCTGTGTATGGTCAAATTGTTGTGCTCTTGACTACCAAACAAGAAAATCGCTCTTTGCCAAGCTGTCTACATTGTAGATATGCAAGCAATTGTCACCTTGGTGTGTGGTTTTGAGCTGAGTTGGATAACGGCTTGTTAAAAAATGCACTAGTAGATATTTGTGGGCAGGGGATGGTAGTGGTACAGAAACAAAGTTATGTATGAATTAAACGGGCACACTCTAATTTGGTACAACTTGGTTTTGTACACACAGGCAGTTGCATGCATAGCTAGCCACTAATTTCTGGGTGGCCTTTTCATTATGAACTTTTTCACCACATGTTTTGCTTAAGCTGAAAAATAAATAAATGCCTTTGATTGCACAGAAATTTTCTATGGTTCTTTATTTTCATACATCTATCTTTTCTCCCTCCAAACACTCCAGCAGCAATTTTCTTTTCACCTTTAACAAATATATTCTGTGTTTCTGCCAAAAACTCTTTGCCCATCATGTCATGAGTAAAATATTACTCTTTTAAGACTCTAGCACTATTGAAAAACTGGATAACTACATGAAATATTAAGGTTAATCCCCTATCTCTCACCATATATAAAAGTAAATTCAAGTACAAAAGTAATTTGAAAAGGTTAACTTTCAAAAGTAAATTAAAAAATTTTGAAAGGCTGGAGCAATAGCACAGCGGGTAGGGCGTTTACCTTGCACGCAGCCAAGATGGCCGACACGGGTTCGATTCCCAGCATCCCATATGGTTCCCCGAGCACTGCCAGGAGTAATTCCTGAGTGCATGAGTCAGGAGTAACCCATGAGCATCGCCGGGTGTGACCCGAAAAGCAAAAAAAATTTTTTGAAAGACATTCATTAGAACTAAATTCATAAATACTTTAAAGAAAACAGACAGAATCCTCTATAGTATTGACTTCCAACATGTTTTTGATGACTAGATGGCAAAATGTAAGCAAAAAATGGACAAACGGAACTCCACCAAACTAAAAATGTGTATGACTAGTGAGAGAAACAATCACTAAAATAAAAAGATATCCTACTGAATGGGAGAAAATACGCATATGCTGTTCAGTTAATAAAGAGCCAATATTCAAGATACATAAAGCACTGGTAAAACTCAGTGAGAAGGGAAAAAACTTTCAAAAAACGGGAAGAGATGGGGGCTGGAGCAATAGCACCACAGGTAGGGCGTTTGCCTTGCACGCGGCCGACTGGGGTTCGATTCCCAGCATCCCATATGGTCCCCTGAGCACCACCAGGGGTAATTTCTGAGTGCAGAGCCAGGAGTAACCTCTGTGCATCGCCGGGTGTGACCCAAAAAGAAAAACAAAAAAAAAATGGGAAGAGTTGCTGAACACGCTCTTCCCCAAGTCATACAGATGATAAATGGGAAAGACGAAAAGGTGTTTGTCATCACTAATTATCAGGCAAATACAAATTAATGACACATCACCCCATACCAGTGAGAAAAAGCCTGAAAGAGAGATAGCACAGAAGTTAAGGTGTATGCCTTACATGTGGCTGACCCTAATTCAGTGCCCGCCATATCTCCAAAGATTCCTGAGTACCTTTGGGTGTGGCCTTGGAAGCCCATACAGGCTGTTAGGATGGCCCTGGATAATCCCTGGTACTACTGGTTCTGAGAAGCACCACACTTAGGGCTGCAACATTGAAATACTGGCTAGATTGGCTGAGAATTGCAGGCAGGAGCCTCTGAGCCTCAGAACCACTTGGAAAAACCCAATAATAAACTTCAAAAAAAAAAAAAACCTTTAAAGCTCTGAAACAACCAACGCTGGCAGAGATGTGGTGGAAAAAGGAACACTTATTCATTGTTGATGGACTGGCATCTAGTTTCATCTCTATGAAAACTGTCTAGAGGCTTCTTTAAAACATTAGAAACAGAACTACCCAGCAATTCCACTCTTTGGCAGTCTATTTCAAAGAACACAAACTATTCATTTGAATAGGGGCTGGAGAAATAGCACAGCGGGTAGGCCGTTTGCCTTTCACGAGGCCGACCAGGGTCTGATTCCCAGCATCCCATATGGTCCCCCAAGCACCACCAGGAGTAATTCCTGAGTGCAAAGCCAGGATTAACTCCTAGGCACTGCCAGGTGTGACCCAAAAACAAAACAAAATGACAACAACAACAAAAAGATATGTAACCTAATGTTCATTGCTGTACTATTTACAATAGCCAAGATCTGGAAACCGTTCAAATGTCTAATAAGAGATACATGGGTGACAACGTTATGGACAGTAGAATATTGTGCAGTCATAAAAAGATGCAATCTTGCATTTTGCTACAACTGGATGGGCCTGGGAGATGTCGTGCTGTGTGAAGGAAGTCAGAAGGAGAAACAAATACTGGATTATTTAATCTCCAGGTGGCTAGGGAGGCTCTGGCGGCTTTCTGCCTCGCTACCTGTGTTCGGGTGGGCCTTGGGCCGCCCGCCCAGCCGGGGCGGCCCAGGCCATGGGGCAGACAAAGGAGGAAATGAGAGCCAAGCCAGTTAATTGATCAGATGCCGTTTATTCCATTCTCCCCCACGTGCCTGCCTCAGTCTCCCTGAGCCCCTCATTTTAGTCTCACACTGCCCCTCATTCCCGTCTCCTCCTGTCTCTCCTGCTCATCTCTCCGCGTTCCATCTTGCAGCCTGGGCTCTCTCTCTCTCTCTCCACGTGCCTGTTCCTGTATTTTTCTTCTCCCTCTGTCCCCCTTGCTAGTCTCTCCATTCTCCATCTTGCTGCCCTGTTCTCTCTCTCATCTCTTTCCTGTCTCTCTCCTGTGTCTCCATTCTCTCTCTCTCTTTCTCTCTCTCTCTCTCTCTCTCTCTCTCCCTCGCACTGGAGGGTAGATGCTACACCCAGTCAGGTAGCAAAATCAACGTAAGAAGCCCTTCCTGACAGCCCATCAGGCTCCAGGGCAGAAACACCACCTAGGGGTGTTCCTCTTCTTCTTAGGCCAATGATTTAACTAACATCTTAATTAACATCTTAATTCTATTCTTAATACTAGTTATTTTTGTATGGACACAGTAAGAGATACATTGAGGCTTGTAGGGTGGCTCTCCTGGGAACGTCTTGCCACAGACTTAGACTACAGTGCTCAGTCCAGATTAATCTAGAAGGGTCCGAATCTAGTTATTACTCTCTTTTTATTTATTTTTTTGCTTTTTGGGTCACACCCAGCGATGCACAGGGGTTACTCCTGGCTCTGCACTTAGGAATTACCCCTGACGGTGCTCAGGGGACCATATGGGATGCTGGGAACCGAACCTGGGTTGGCCGCGTGCAAGGCAAATACCCTACCCGCTGTGCTATCGTTCCAGCACCCTAGTTATTACTCTTTGAATTATGATAAACTTTGTCCATGACCAAGCTCTTAACTTATTGTTAAGCATTGTGGCACTTTGGCCAGGCCCATTTTGATGCCAGGGTAGCACATAGCTCACTGCTTGCCCAGACTCCATCCAGTCATTGAGACCCTGCTTTTGGAGTGCTAGGAAGTAAGGGCAACTGAGGCTTAGGTTGAGAGAACAGATGTCGAAGAGGAAAATATCATTTGGAGTCAGTCAACTCCCATGTTACAAAAGCATACCATTAACTGTCTTCTTGTGCCCATACAAAAAAGGACATTGCTTTGAATTAACTATGCAAAGGATTTGAGGAGAAGAGAAAAACAATACTTGCAAGTCTACAGAGCACAAAGAAAGAAGTTACAAATAAACACAGAGGAATGGGAGCACTGTGATGGGGGTAACCCAATAAACCTAGGCTCCCTGTGGCAAGGCAGAAAGGACAAACCAATGTTATCCTACGCCGGATGATATCACTTACATATGATATATAGCACTGTAGCACTGTCCTCCTGCTGTTCATCG